TTGTGACTTCATGTGAGCGGGAGAGGAAGAAAGGAGCCTCTGTGTTGCTCAGTGCGTGCAGGATGGTGATAGTGAAGGAGGGTTTTTGCTTTCTGCCGCCGCGGGGTATCATCAGCGCGTGACAGCACGCACGCGTCAGTTGTTGTGATGCTGCCTAGCTTTTATACGGAGGCGATGCTAATACCAGATTGCTTTATGGAATTTAGTTGTACTATTGTTGTAAGTTTACTTGATTAGAATAAATTGCTATATTTTGATATTAAAAACACGTGTATAATTCGTCGTTATTCGATCTGATGTTTTTGTTTTTGTTACGCTATACGTTGCTCTGTTCGTCGAGGCAGCCACCCTCCTGCAATCATACTTATTATAATAGTAATATAAGGTAAAGTAACTTGGCTGGTTATTAGTAAGTTAAAAAGGTTATTCGGAATTGCTGACGATTACAAAAAAAGCGTTATAACATGACGAACTAGTGAGCAAGTGAATGAAATAATTTTAAACACAAAACCCTTAACCATTCATTATTATTACTAAATTAAATAAATATTAACTATTAGTTACTCAACTCATTATATATATATATATATATATATATAGATAAGTTATACGGACACGGTAGAAATTTTGACTCTGTTTATTGCATACAGAACTGTTTCGTGTGGAGCGAAGCTCCACACTCGATCAGTGCCTAATACAGAGGCTTCGTCCACACGAAACAGTTCTGTATGCAATAAACAGAGTCAAAATTTCTACCGTGTCCGTATAACTTTATCTATATTTGCTCTACTCATGGTGTATTGAGGCACTCTCGACACACGAGTTCATAAAACCATTGGAATCTATATATATATATATATATATATATATATATATATATATATATATATATATATATCAATTGGATTATTTAGAAAACTTAAATCATTAAACAACTCGCAGGAACAACTCGTATGAAAATGGTATGCTGTTTTGCGTCTTCTTATTCTCAACCTTTGGGTAGATACATTCAAAAAGAGGTATTTGTTACAGTTCATAAACACCATTGGAATCTATATATAATATATATATATATATATATATATATATATATATATATATATCAATTGGATTATTTAGGAAAACTTAAATCATTAAACAACTCGCAGGAACAACTCCGTATGAAAATGGTATTGCTGATTTTGAGTCTTCTTAATTTTCAACCTTTTGGTAGATACATTCAAAAAGAGGTATTTGTTACAGTTTTTATCAAGCATAAAAAGGTTAGTTAAAATATATATCGAAAACTCTTTACTTTTTACGGGGCTTTTAAAGAACATTAGTGAAAAATGTTTTTAAAAGTTGTTTCGAACGAAAACTAATTTCTTCGAACAAACAAATTCGTTCGAACGAACTTTTACAAATATGTTTTCACTCATGTCCCTTGTCCATGGCCTCAGAACTTTCGTAGGCCCTAGATGGAGAGCCTGTCTTGCACACGTGCCCCCCCCACCACACACAACACCATACTCGCACATTCGCACGAGCGCACACCAGCGCGCGGCCCAATCAGTAGATAAGCGGACGCGAAAATATTTGGCGTAAGAACAGCCAGCCACCTGTAATACACCGTACTTTGTTCGTTCACTTATTTATTCGATCATTTATTCATTCATCCGATACATCTATAGAGTAAATGATATCATGCATTTCTATTCTATGTATAGTTGCGGTAAACATTTTAAAGGCGCGGCCATAAAACACGCACGCACGCACACACGCACGCATGCGCGGTTGCGCGTGTGTCCACACGCACGCACAGGGCGAATTAAGGAAGTTATAGGCCTGGACACTTCAATTTTTGTAGCGTTAGTATACTAATTGAACAAAGGAAACGCTGATTAATTATGACCAGCAAAGCCCACCTCACGTGCACCTCCCACTGCCTTCTCCACTGAGAATGAGATGATCATGCGAAGCATCATATGAAGACGTTACGTCTAAACTGCTATTTTGGCAATGATGAAATCTCACATAATTATATATATGTATATATATATATATATATATATATATATATATATATATATATATATATATATATTATATAGGGTAGGAATATATCTATACCTATGTAGTCATTAAATCGTTAGCTGCATTATGTATTACTAGGTGAGTAAATATTTGCCCACCCCTGGCCTAATATCAGTCGCTATTCAATGTCGCGTGTAACAGCACGCCACTCTTGTATGAGGACGCGGTTTGTTCACTGCGCCTTTAACAACTTAATCGGGCATTGCTAATTGTATTAGCTGTAATAACTGTGTGGCGCCAGTGTGTAACTTTCACTGAACGTTAGTTAAACAATGCGATCACTATTGGCGCACGTGAAACGTGGTGCTGCCCAGTGTGATTGCTGACAAGGTCGGGAAAACAATCATCGCGGCTTTTATCAGAAACATTGAGCGTCATTATCAGGTAGCGACCGCCTTGTTTCGCTGCGTGTAAACACGAACATGGGTCGGACGCAGTAGAATCGCTATAAAAAGGACGTGTAGAGATCTCTACCGCATCCACTCGCTTCTGATCGCTCTGTGAAGACTATCGTCAGCACTCGTCTAACCACAAGGTATCGTATGACGCTAGTTTCGCTGGTAGATTTCGGAAGTATACATTATAGTTTAGCATTAATAATTAGAATAATTTATTATTGTAAATGGATTTTTATATATGAGTGACATTGTATCAAATTGCCTTTCTTTTCAGAATCATGAAGGTCACGCTTTGTATTCTGGGACTTTTCGCGGTAAGTATGTCGCTCGCTATCTATCTATCAATCTATCTATCTATCTATCTATCTATTTATCTATCTATCTATCTATCTATCTATCATCTATTATCTATCTTATCTATCTATTTATCTATCTATCTATCTATCTATCTATCTATCTATCTATCTATCCTATCTATCTATCTATCTATCTATCTATCTATCTATCTATTACTATCTATCTATCTATTATCATCTATCTATTTCTATCTATCTATCTATCTATCTATCTAATCTATCTAATCTATCTATTTATTATCTATCTATCTATCTATCTATCTATCTATCTATCTATCTATCTATCTAATCTATCTATCTATCTATCTATCTATCTATCTATCTATCTATCTATCTCTCTATCTATCTATCTATCTATCTATCTATCTATATCTATCTATCTATATCTACTTCTATCTATCTATCTATTATCTATCTATCTATCTATCTACCTACCTATCTTTATCTACCTATCTATCTATCTATCTATCTATTATTTATTTATCTATCTATCTATCTATCTATCTATCTACACACACACACACACCCACACACATACACACACACACACACACACACCACACACACACACACACACACACAACACACCACACACGCACAACACACACACACACAACACAACACACCACACACACACACACACACCCACACACGCAGCCACGCACGCACGCACACCACACACACACACACACACAACACACACACACACACACACCACACACACACACACACATCACCCATATAGTTATTATACATATATATATATATGTGGCAGCTAGCCCTGCATCCGTATGTGCCGATACATTACAGCGAGCATGTTTATGACTATAGTGCATTTATTCTCAGGTCATCGCTTTGGCCGCCGCGCAGTACGGCCATGGTGGTTACGGCGGCAATGGCGGATACGGTGGATACGGTCTCGCCGGAGGTTATGGTGGATACGGTCATGGGGCAGGATATGGAGGATACGGTAATGGAGCAGGATATGGAGGATACGGTCTGACAAGCGGACAGGGTACTTTCGCTGGCCACCGCGCTCCCTACGGCTACAGAGGTTCCGCACGTCGCCACGTGTACGGCGGAAGAGGATTCGGATACAACTATGGCGGATACGGACATTAAGAATCTTCGTGGATAATTATTGTAAAAATGTAAATTTTTAATGCGATATTTTAACGGGATGATATTACATGCCGGCGTCATGAGCTGAGAAACAGTATGGCTGTATACGCAAGCTCTCGTTTCTCTGCTGGAACTTCAGAACTTTTGATGAAAATGTATACGGCAATGCTTGCAAACTTCTAAATTATAATAAAATGAAATTCACGTTCACGTCACATAATTTGTTGTATTTGCAATGTTATAATAATTAGTGCTTAATATGAGCTAGGTCGGTCATATTCATGGCCGATATCATTGACATGAACAATAATATATTCATCAGCAACAAAACATGAAACGTACACGGTTTATGTTTCTCTCAACTTTAGCCGAGATTTTAACATGAGTCATTACGGTAATTACTGATAAAGAATCCCTATGTTGCTTGCCCCCTAATTCTGGGGAATTTATATCCAATAACCTTCTGCTGTTTCTATATATATCAAGAGTAGATAATAGGGAATTATTTGGAATATAGGAAATATAGGGACTATTTATAGAGAATATAGGGAATATTTCCCTATTATCTACTCCTGATATATATATATATATACATCTAATATTTAAACTAAATATAGGGAATATAGGGAATATATATATATATAGTAGTAAAGTCACACACGAACACCCGTGTAGACAATTTGACTTTTTTACAATTTTTGACAACACATACAGAAAATTGAATTGGACAATTTTGACAATTTGACTTGTGTGACTCATTGATTATCTATAACGCATTGTATTTGTTTTTGATTATTTGATTCTATTCCAATGTCTGCTGACCTGATGAAGAGATGTAATCAACTCTTGATATAATTATATATATCTCAATTGGATTATTTAGAAAACTGTTAAATCATTAAACAACTCGCAGGAACAACTCCGTATGAAAATGGTATTGCTCATTTTGCAGTCTTCTTAATTTGTCAACCTTTTGGGTAGATACATTCAAAAAGAGGTATTTGTTACAGTTTTTATCAAGCATAAAAAAGTTAGTTAAAATATATATCGA